TCAGACATGACTCAGCGACTGAACAACAGCGGCAGTGAGCTTTCTGATAAGAACATGCTCAGGCGGAGGCTAGCCATCTGTCAACAGGATTATTACAGAAGTGACTTGGATATTGTGACACGGGTGTGCTAGATGGTATTAAACTCTGACCCTCAGGGTGTTTTATTCTATGAAACTCTGCAAGCACACGGGTAGTATAGGAAAATCTCTGGACCAGCCTGTGGCGGACTTTTTTCTGGCTCCTTTCCTTGATCCAAGCTAACCAAAGAATGGCTACCAAAAAAGAGAGGAAAAAAAGAAAGCAAACAAAAATCCCTGTTGGCTCAGCAATGCAGCTTCATTCCCATGTTACACAGCACCCTTGTCCATGATGCTTGGTTTCCCAAGAGAGTCTCAACGATATGATTTAGGCAAGTGCATCCTGTTGCTCACCTCAATACGGCTTGATGTCTTGCTTCCCCTGAGGACCACGTAACACCTTATCATTGATCTAATAATACTCTGCGCTGAAGTCTCTGCCTCTGCTTCCTTCCATCAGTGATTGGCTGTATGACCCTGCTCAAGTTGCAGCTGTCTCATGGGTGTGCTGAGCAGTGCTAGCAGTCTTTCAATCCGATTTACCCTAGGAATAAAAAGTAATTCAAGAATGATCTATACAGCAATGACAATGCACAGGAGACTTGGTGAATTCTAGAGCATGGTGGTTGCAGTAGAAGAGACATCCAAGTCAGTAATTTACATTGAACTCAGAAAATAAAAATGCAAATATTCATTTTACCACATATATATTAGGTAATTGGGATATGTATTGCAGAGGGTTGAATTGTTAGAAGGGTTCAGTGTGGAGTCTTTCACAGTTTCTGATTATGGGAGCATCTCACGTGGATGTGTTCTCAGTCGCTTCAGTCCTGTCCGACTCTGTGCGACCCATGGGCTGGAGCCTGCCAGGCTCCTCTGTCCACGGGGTTCTTCAGGCAAGAATAGTGGAGTAGGTTGCCATTTCCTCTTCCTGGGGATCTTCATGACCCAGGGACAGAACCTGAGTCTCATATCTCCTGAATTGACAGACAGGTTCATTAACATCTAGGGCCACCAGGAAGGGTGGATACAATACCACTAATGGGGTCCTGGAATTCTGATAAGGGGTATTTTCCATAATAAGAAAAGGTGAAGGCATTGTAGTTCTATACCAAACACTATCATAGGCTACTTGCCTGTATTATTACTCATAATCCTCATGATGACCATAGGAGATATGTAAAATTTCCCCATTGCACATACAGGAAAAATGTCACCAGTGAGAGATAGTGGTCTGTCCCAGTTCAGCTCTTATTGTACTATTTTGGGCATATGATTTACTCCATTTGAGAGGTAATTGTTAATATACAAAGAATGTGTAATAGTAATACATACCTTTTATTGCATATGTATATATAGTATACAATCTGTACATACAATACATAAAAATTTGTAAAAAAATTAACCATGTGAGACATGGCCTGTGCAAGTTCAGTCACGTCCGACTCTTTGTGCCCCGTGGACTGTAGTCTGCCAGGCTCCTCTGTCCATGAAACTTGATAATTTTCCATGATAATGATAGCAAAGAATTGTAGCACAGCAAAACACCATGATGATATAACCTGAAAACAGAGAAATCTGGTCAAAATGTGATTAGCAACTGCCCAGCCTAGTTCCCTCACCCAGCCCAAGATTTCAAATGAAGCAGGTGTAAAGTTCTTGTAATTGACGGGAGTGGGGTTGGAGTGAAGGAATTGGAAGGAAGGGAAGAGCAAAAAGGAGGATGAAGCGGGAAAAATTAGGGTGGAGATAATATCAGGAGATCCCTTCTCAGGAAGCAAAGAGTCAAACTGTCCCTGTGTCATCAGCAATCTCTTGGCTTAGTCTCCCCCAGCAGAGCTCGGGAAGCAATTTTCAAGTAATCATGAGGTTCCTAGAAGTCCCAGATAGCTGAGGGTCTCAGAATTATTCTCATAATTATTTAAGCAACAGAGGAGAAAAGCCACCAGAATACATTAAACAACAGCTGGAAATGGGGCATATTTTGATCACTGCAGTCACCCTGGAATTCCCATTTGTCACTGTGCAGGTTTATCCCAGTTATTTTGTTAACCTCCTAACAATAGTCAATCCTTCACTTGACTTGAGTGAGACTTTTGGAGCCAAATCTATCAGATGATGACAGTGCTTTCCTTTAATAATAACTAGCACCAAGATCTTTGGTGACTATCACTGTCTCTTACCCTTGCATTCTTTCATGTAACACTACTACTCCTGGGACACTGGTTCTATTATTATGCACCACTTATACATGAGGGGATGGAGGCTTAGAGCTGCTAAGCTAAAGGCAGCCACCAGGTTGCATGGTGTTTCAGTTATCTGTTGACGTGTAACAGACCATCTCAAGGTTTAATAGCTTGAAAACAGCAGCCTTTTTATTTGCTCACAATTACTGATCAGAAATTTGGCTGGACATAGCAGGGACAACACCATGGTCTGGGGCCTCAGGTGGGGGCTTAAATGGCTGGGAGGAAGTGTATGTCTGTTGTCTTGAGTTCTGGCTGTTACCTGGGTTCCCTGGTATTGCTGCATAAGGCTAGTGTGAGCTTCTCTGCACGGTGATCTCATGATTGCGGGAGAGATTGTGCTAAATGACAAATCCACTGTGAGAGTGCTTATTAAGCCTCTGCTTGCATTGTTTGCTAATATCTCACTGGGTGCAAGTCATGTGCAGAAGTACTGTCACCGTGAGAGAGGACTTTGTTTACAAAGTCTAATAGACAAGAAAAATAATACAGGCATGTTAGGGGGCCATGAGACCCTTTGGGGGAGCAGTTATGCCTGACTGTGTGTGCGGGGGTGGGGGAGAGGGTTTGTCCCAAAAGAATAGAGGGGAAAAATAGAACTACAGAGTTTCAAAGAGAGATCATCTACCAAGTACAGCCCTTCACTTTGCACAAAAATGCATTAGGGCCACAACAGGAAAGGAACTAAAGTCACAGACCTAATGACTGGCAAAGACTAGCTTCAGAATGTACATCACACCAAAATCCGACAGGAGGTAATACTGGTGAACCGGAGAAAATCGCAGGAACTGAGTGAGACTCGTGACGAGTAAGAGGCAAGGAGTAAACAGGCCAAAAGTCCAGTCCCGAGAAGTTTAAGTAGCCCACTTGAGATCCTATTATATCTGCAGTGTTCCCCTGCCTGCCCTGGCCAGGCTGAAAAACCATATTGTCTCTTCCACAGCAGTGGCCTGTGTGATTATTTGGAGTACTTGCATTTTGTTGTTTTTCTGCAGCTCTGTATTTGAATATCTGTCTTCGAGCATAAATTCCTGGGAGCAAAAGGTTGCTCATCTTAGACATAGAGCAAAGTACACTATGTAACCAAAGCTTTAGGGTTGTAAAAATGTGGAACATGTATGATCCCTTAAATTCACAAGGGACCAATATGTCTAGACAATCTGCTATATAGATACTTATTAATTGTTTTACATGGAACTTTTACAACTTAGCATAAAAGAAAACTATAAGGTAGGTGTGCTTTTAAGTATGTATGTTGTGGCCGACTCTGCAACCCCGTGGACTGTAGCCCGCCAGGTTCCTCTGTATATCGGATTTTTCAGGCAAGAATACTAGAGTGGTTGTCATTCTCTACTCCAGGCGATCTTCCCAACTGAGGGATCGAACTTGTGTCTCCTGCACTGGCAGGCAGATTCTTCACCACTGCTCCACCTGGGAAGCCCAGGCCTGCTTTTAGTCCCTGCCCTTTTTCTTTCCACAAAGGAAGCTAAGAGTGAAGTGGATAAATGATGTGCCCAGCATCACACGGCTAGTGTCCCAGCTAGGATTTAAAATCTGACCATTATCCTCCTGCTTCTCTTCCTTTGATGCAATGAAGCCATAATCACAAGGCAAGATAGGAGAGCGTGTTTTAAACTTAACACAGGGATTTGAATGCCAAATCAGGCATTTCTCTCTAATGCGTTCTTGTAGCAATGGTATCACCCCTCTGCGTGTTGAGTAGTTTCATTTGCAAAATGAGAGGCTGGACGTGAGTATCTCTCAGAGGTACTCCATCTCCAAACTGTTTCTAACAGTCACTGACAATTGAAAACACGTTATTCAGTGCAGCGCCATCTGCTGTTCCTTGGTGAGATTACCGACGGTTCTTGCTGAACAACAAAAAAATCAGTTAAAAGAAACACAGAAGGGGTCTTATTTCCCAGCTGCTGGGAGATGACACTGAAAGTCTGCGGCTGCGCTCCTTGCTCCTGGCACATGGTCAGGATCACCCGGTCAGCTTCCCTTGTCCACAGGACCACCTTTTCCCCGGTGGAGCTGACCTTGCTGTTGTTGGCACATACTGTAGCTTCTGTGGCCTTCGTCTGCAGCTCCCCTCCTGGACCCTTGCCCTGTAGTCCACTGTCTTTAGCCAAACCTCCTCTAAGACCCCTACTGAGGTTTCCCATCGTTTTCGAGAACTCATGCAGCTCTTCCACACAGCCTGTGAGGCCAGCTCTGAGGATGAGGACGACGCAACCAGTACCAGCAATACAGACCAGCTGTCTGACCATGGGGACCTTCTGTCTGAGGAAGAGCTGGATGAGTGAGACCTGCTGTGTGAGGGTGTCATCTGAGCACTGAGTCCACCAGGCACCCTGGTGATCAGGGAGAGGGTGGGGTGCTGCACCTCGCTTCTGCAACTGTTGAGCTCAGTATGCGGAGCTGGAGGAACGGGGGCCAGGGACAGTGACAAAGGCAGGCTGGGGGTCGGACGATCCTGCCACCCTGTGCATCTTTTACGAAGACCTTAGAAATAGTTGTAAAGAGCATTGAGGGAGAGTGGGGCGCAGTTCCTTTTCTGTGTTGTATTTTTTTCTGTCTGATGGTACATATTTATTATTGTGTGATCTGATCACAGTGATTCTAAATGTAATAAATGCGTGTGTTGCTGTAGCCAGTCCCAAGACACTGAGCTCCTGCACCCAGCAGTTTTTATTGTAAACTAGTCCTTTCCTTTTCTTGGAGCTTTAGTCCACGAGCCTATCGTTGCCACTCTCGTAGCACTGGGCCAGGTTGCGCAGTTCCTGCAGCGTCTCCTCTAGGTCATCCTGTTCCACTCCAGCGTCCATGAAGCTGGCCCAGCGTCGCAGGTCAAGTTTGGAGAGATCTTTGGCCAAATCTCCCAGGGCCCGGTACAAGGAGGAAGAGGAGCAGAGGGCCCCGAGCACTGGGATACTCTCCACCGCTGCAGGGAGAGAGGATGGGAGCTGTTCTCTACCCTGGGGCTCTATCGCTCACACGGGGAAGCCTGGGCCTCTGGCAGACTTGACTGTACAGTAAACTATACAGTGTCCTGTCCCCTTTGTACACCAGCAACTAGGGGAAGAACACTTCTCTGAGGAACCACAGAGTGAATAAAGGAGTGTTAACCTGGGAACTTCCCCAGTACTTTCATTCATGAAGGGATACTGTAAAAGTCTCTCATGCTTGAAAACCTCTGGGTTTTCTTCACCTGCTACATACCTGTCCCTGCTGGAGGAGCATCGAGTAGCAACCCATGCTGGCTGTGGCGTGAGGAGAAGAGGTAGGGGTAAGGAGGGACTACCCTGCAGGGAGTCAGCAGCAGATGGGAAGAGCTGTGGGGGGAGAGCACAGCAGCTGAGTGAGAGAAAGTCAAGGGAGGTCTGAGGTCTGGGAGGAGAGGAAAAAAAAAAAAAAAAAAGAAACACAGAAGCAAACTATTATATGTGAAATAGATAAACAACAAGATCCAATGTATAGTACAGGGAATTATATTAAATGCCCTGTAATCAAGCATAATGTAAAATAAAAACACACACACACAGCAATATACGCAGGTAATAGATATACATTACCCCAAATCAGTTCCTCTGTGGATTTCATTACTTCATTGTATAATGTTTGTAAAGTTGGTGTTAAAATATCAAGAGCATCATTCTAACAGAATAGTTGTGCAAAGTTTCACACAGGGACAGACACTACCTCACATACAAATCGGGTTGATGACACCTACACATTTCATATTCACCATAAGAGCAGTCATAGGTTCCATCACAGTTCTATGTAATTAGTGCTAAATACATTTTAATCCCATGTAGCTACATGCATTTGAACAGTAACCAGAACTATTGCATTTGAACTGTGTAATTACACACTGGCTCTCTCAGTGGCAGAAACTGTATAATTATGAAGTTCTTTGCATTATCAGAAAAAAAAAAATAACAACTATGCCGTGCTGGGGAAAATCGCAGTAGGATTATGCTGCCTGTGATTCCACATCTCTTAGTTCAGGGCCTACTTAACTTTCTATACAGTGTAATTAGGTATGAGGTGGGGTTGGGAGGCAAACGATATCTAATGTATTAACAGTCCCTCTTATTCCCAGATAGCTAAGAATATTCTACCAAGCTTATGCCAACATTTTTCTGTGCACAAAATACAAGTGATTTGCCACTCCACACAGAGTAGCAGTATTCTATTTTGTGCCTTTTAATATAAGATTCTAAAAATATTTCCCCAAGCCACTCAAAATGCATCCCTGGTGTTGGTTTTATATAGGTTTTCTAGATTCATGAAACATAATGACATAGGGGAGTTAGAGTGGATGAAGTATGCTCAGTAAGTAAGAAGGAATGCATGCTGAATACAAGCTTAATGTTGAATCTCTTGTTTGCTCTCTCAAGAAATGAGAAGCTCTACCATAACTCTCCAAAGGATATGGCTAAATAATTTGGTTTATTTTCTACCACTCTGTGACAGATCAATTCCTTTATTTAAATGTTGAAAAAGTTATTGGTGACTTTCCTGGTGGCTCAGACGGTAAAGCATCTGCCTACAATGCGGGAGACCCGGGTTCGATCCCTGGGTCAAAAAGATCTCCTAGAGAAGGAAACAGCAACCCATTTCAGTACTCTTGCCCGGAAAATCCCATGGACGGAGGAGCCTGGTAGACTACAGTCCATGGAGTCGCAAAGAGTCGGACACGACTGAGAGACTTCAATTTCACTAAAAATTTATTAAACCTCTACACAATTTGAGATAGTAGCTTTTATAGCAGCTCACATAAAATCTTAGTGGAGTATAGGCTTCTCTTGAACCAATGAGATGATGTACTTAAGTAAACTGTCTTGGAATGTCCTTCATGGTCTAGTGGTTAAGAATATGCCTTTCAAAGCCTGGGACTTGGGTCCGATCCCTGGTTGGAGAACCAAGATCCCACATGCTGAGGGCCAACTAAGCCTGTGTCTCAACTGCTCAACACGTGTGTTCTGCAACTAGAGAAAGCCCACAGTCCACAGTGAAGACCCAGCACAGCCAAAAACAAAAACAAAAACCAGCCTCGTGGGCATTATTAAGGAGTTAAGGGGTGTAATTCAGAAGCAACTGAGATTTGGGAACCAATGGTAGCTTAGAGCCAGTGCTTTGGTTGGGAGAGTGACTGTCCTGCAGAAGGTGGAGGAAGTGGGATCAAGCAAATAGCAGCTGGAAGATGTTTGTTTAAACTGCCTAGAGGGGATTCTTACTAAAAAACATAAATTTTGGAGTAATTAAAACTACTACCTGGAGGCAAAAGGCAACCAGTTACAGAAAAGTTAGAAAGCAGAAACTGAGATGAAGGTAGCAAAGGAATGACTTTTTCTGAGATGGTATGGGTTGAGCTGAAAGCTAAATCATGAAAAGATGGCAGCTTTGCAGGGGCCTTGTGGAAAACACTTCAGACAGGGGTAAAAGCAAGTGCGATGTCTCTGGGGACAAATAGTGAAAGAAAAGCAACTTGAAGCAAAGAGAACAAGAAGCTGCCACTTTACTACTGGATGTGTAAACCAGATAAGCATCCTGGTTTCAAAAGAGGTTAGCACTGTTTGGGAGTTCAGCTGGGTAAAGGTGGATGAATCAGAACATCCAAACCATACCATCGAATCTTATGTGAAAATAGGTCATGTAATGGGGTCCAAGTCATTCTCCTCTGCTTCAAAGAAGCTATTAATTGCTCTAATTTAAGATATCTTGGGACTTTCCCGGTGGTCCAGGGGTTAACACTTTGTGCTTCCAATGCAAGGGGCAAGGGTTCGATCCCTGGTTTGGGAACTAAGGTCCCACATGCCACACAGCATGCCCTAACTCCCACAACAAAAGATAAAATAACTTATGCTCCACAGAAACTTACTTTTCCTTGGTAAGCTCAAATTTTGGAGGTATTTCTGTTGCTATTTACCTCATTTCTATGCAATTAAATGAGTATTAATGAGATGAAAAACATTTCAGAGTACTAAAAGCTATCTGAATTAATACACATGATTAGTTTATTGATATCTCATATTTAATCAAAATTCTTTTGAATATTAAGATGTCCAAGAGAGTTGTTTTTTTCTTTTTAGTTAACTCAGCGAGGGAGGAGATTCTACTATTTCTTTCTGTAGAAGTTATGGACTTTCATAGGGAAATCATATTGTGCAGTGCAATGAGAATTCGTTTGCAGATAGCACTGAGTGCCACTCACAAGGCATTTGAAGTTGGGCAAGTCGTTGAATCTCTTAAGCTTGTTGCATCATGATGTAAAATGAGATTGCATTATATGGCATTTGTTTCTCTGCACACCCTTACTCTTTTAGTAGAACTGTATTATTGCAATGGAATAGTCTACACATTTATATGTGTGTGTATATATACATATAGGCTTTCTTGGTGGCTCAGACCATAAAGAACCTGACTGCAATGCAGAAGCCCGGGGTTCAGTCCAGGAAGATACCCTGGAGAAGGGAATGGCAACCCACTCCAGTATTCTGGCCTGGGAAATCCCATGGACAGAGGAGCCTGCTGGGCCACAGTCCATGGGGTTGCAAAAGAGTTGAACATGACTTAGAGACCAAACAAAAATAAATTCTTAACTATAATATATATTCTCATGTATTATATATTCCGTGATATATATTCTCAACTATACAGTTAGGTACACCATATATAACTATATATCATGTACTATGCATTTATAGTGGATGTGGTGGATGGTGGTTTAGTCCCTAAGTAGTGTCCACCAGGATCCTCTGGCCACTGGATTACCCAGGCAAGAATACTGGATTGGTTTGCCATTTCCTTTTCCAGGGCATGTTTCCAACCCCACCCAGGTCTCCTGCATTGTGGGCAGATTCTTTACAGACTAAGCCACTGTGGAAACTACATACAGTATATGCATATAGTTAAGAATATATTTTGTAATATAAGTGTGGATATTCTGATGTGCTATACATGTAGTTAAGAATATATTTTGTAGTAAAAGTGTGGATATTTTGATGCGTTATACCTGTAGTTAAGAATATATTATGTAGTATGAGTGTGGATATTCTGATGTGTTATAATTACAGTTAAGAATATATTTTGTAGCACGAGTGTGGATATTCTGATGCATTATCTGTACAGTTAAGGATATATTCTGTAGTGTGAATGTGGGTATTCTGATGCATTATCTGTACAGTTAAGGATATATTCTGTAGTGTGAATGTGGGTATTCTGATGCATTATCTGTACAGTTAAGGATATATTCTGTAGTGTGAATGTGGATATTCTGATTTGTTATCCATACAGTTAAGGATATATTCTGGGGTGTGAATGTGGATATTCTGATTTGTTATCCATACAGTTAAGGATATATTCAGGGGTGTGAATGTGGATATTCTGATGCGTTATATGTATAGTTAAGGATATATTTTGTAGTGTGGATGTGGGTATTCTGATGCATTATCCGTACAGTTAAGGATATTTTCCGTAGTTTGAATGTGGATATTCTGATGCGTTATCTGTACAGTTAAGGATATATTTCGCAGTGTGAATGTGGATGTTCTGATGCATTTTCCAATCTTTATCAACATACTCTCTCCTTGCCACCACATATTCTCCATTTCGTTTCATGAGAGAATATTAGTTTTTAATCCTATTTCCTACGTCTTATGTATCTAATCTCACAGCTCTTTAGCCTTAAGGCAAACTCAAGAATCCTTGAATCCTTATTATTTTTCTCTTCTTTCTCATGTGTGGGGAATATCTTCCTTCTCTCTTTTGCCTTATTTTCCATTTTCACTGAATAGTGAATTTATAAGCCAATTTAGTTATGAACATTTAGAAAATTGATTTTAACTAAAAAATTATCATTGCAAAATATTGTGTTGGCCAAAATGTTCATTTGGGTTTTTACATGAAAGTGAAGTCGCTCAGTCACATCCAACTCTTTGTGACACCATGGGCTGTAGCCTACCAGGCTTCTCCATCCATGGGATTTTCCCGGCAAGGGTACTGGAGTGGGTGCTATTTCCTTCTCCAGGGAATCTTCCCTACCCAGGAATCGAACCCCAGTTTCCCGCATTGTAGGCAGACTCTCTACCTTCTGAGCCACCAGGGAATCCTCACAAACTTTTTGCCCAACCCAGTACATTTTTACTATTTTATTAGTGAAATTCTCTTGTTTAATTACAACACATAATTATATATAAAGTATATTTTTAAAAAGTAAATTTAAAAATTCTCATCTCTTTCTGTGGACTCTATTACTTCTAAACAGTAATGTGAAAAGTTTTGCTCATTCTAAATGATAGTATTGATGTCAAAAGTAGTTATTTTTCTCAAACTTAGGTCACTGCTCTATAGTCTAAATATAACTTTCTCAAAATAGCATGAACAGATTGTTTTGAAAAAGGAAATGAAAAGTATTTATTATGCATTCTGAGTTAATGATTCCAAAAAAAGAGAGAGAGAGAGAGAGAGACTCAAGCACTTTTGTGGTTAGCAGCAGATTCATAGGTTGAGGAGCAAAGTAATGTTTCCTTTCATGAGAGAGGTGGAGAAAATCTATTCATGACCACTTCCCATACATGATGTTGGGAACACATAGGTCAATCCATATTGGAGTATCTTTGTTCCCTTTGGTCAGAAAGTTTTAAAGTCTTGATTGTAGTAAAGTATATATAACATAAAATGTACCATTTTAACCACTTAAAATAGCATACAGTGCACTGTTCGTGTTATTGTGCAACCATCCTCACCGTCCCAGAACGTTTTTCATATTGCAGTGTTGAAACTATGTACCATTAGACAATAACTTCCTATGCCAGAAACTTTGAACTTTTTCACCCTCATAATGGAAAATAGACAGAAAAGATGTATAAAAGTCAACCATGGGAGGACTTACTGTCTTCTGAGGCCAAACAGAAGATCTCATTCAGGAGGGAAGACAGGATGTGGGATTAGCAGAAGGGCAGACCTCTCGTGAACTTGATGGGTTTATAGGTTAAGGCTCAAGATCAGTTTATTCTCTACCTTCCTTGTTGGGCACAGTTGCCTACAGAAACAGGAGGAGCAACCACAGAATCATTTGGAGTGTGTACATCATTTTTTGGCTCTACGTGCTCCAGTGTCCCCTTGACATTCGCGCACTTCCTGATGATGACCAGGTGACAAAAATCGGGTGCAAAGCGGTGCGTCTCTTCTCCAGGCAATCATTTACCCTTACACGGGGTCCCGGCATCTAACCTCAGCCTGTGGTGGAAAACCACACCTTTCTCTTAAGCTATTCTCCTCTTAAAATAAGTCAAAAGAGAAAGAAAGCAAAACAAACTAGAAGAAAATGAAGGGAAAAAGATGATAATAGTCATTATGTGGAACTATGATAGCATCCGGAGAAGGCAATGGCACCCCACTCCAGTACTCTTGCCTGGAAAATCCCATGGACGGAGGAGCCTGCTAGCTGCAGTCCATGGGGTTGGTAGGAGTGGGACAAGACTGAGCGACTTCACTTCCACTTTTCACTTTCATGCTTTGGAGAAAGAAATGGCAACCCACTCCAGTGTTCTTGCCTGGAGAATCCCAGGGACAGGGGATCCTGGTGGGCTGCCATCTATAGGGTCGCACAGAGTCGGACACGACTGACTCGACTCCGCCACAGCACAAGAGCATAGGTGCCTTATCTTCTTTATCTTTATAGATTTGTCTATATTTTTATTCAAACTCTATAGGTAGTAATGTGAAAATTTACAGAGCTTCAGTTGGGGGTTCAAAATTCTCCATTACCCTTTCTATTTGCTCTGAGGTCTGAAGAAAGATATCTGGAAATGTAGTTTTCTAGCACTTTTCCACATCTGTGAGAAGACAATGTCACTGTTGTATCCATGGCAAGAAGGACACACTGCTCAGTGACAAAAATTAGGGATGAAACTAGACAGCTTTTTCAAATGTCCTTTAAATTCACGACTCTACAAAATTCATGATAATTGCCACACAAGCATTGTCTACTTTTAGAAGCATAAAATGTACACAACTGAGTTGGCATTCTCAAAGTATTTCATAAACGTTTCATTATTGAAAGCAACTCATGGAAACAAGCATATTCCAAATCGAGACAGAAATAAATCATCATTGAATGGTTTTTGTGCTATGCAATACCTTAGTACCTGATCTTTTTACTCTTTGCTGTGCTAGGTAATCCAAGTCTCTTGTCAACACCCTGGGGAAGGAATGATATTCCCCAGGAGTTGTATGGATATGTGTGTTTGTGGTAGAGGATGGAGGTAAGAACTGAACCAGACTTGGAGAGAAGCTCGTCTTCCCAGAAAGAATTAAGAATCATTTGATTCTCGACCATGAAATTTCCCTTCAGACAAGGAGTGCATTTAAACTCTGAAATCATACATGGTTGCAAGAAACTTGCTGGATAACAGCCAATAATTTTGGGGTGAGACACATCTCTGAGACATTAAGTCAGACCAAATGTATTCTTTTCATGGAAGAAGAACAGGAAGGAAAGAAAATCAGATGGTCTGGTTTCAATATTTGGTAAGATGTTCTTCAGGTTTTTTTTGGTTTTTTTTTTTGGAAGGAGAGGTGCTATCAGGGAACTTAGATTTAAGATAAAGATCTATTACTGACAGGGAATTTAAATGTAAATCCCTTTCTAATAAAAAGATGAAGTGTATGCTATTATAGGGCAAATGTTGAACTAAGCATAAATAATATCTGGGTTTCAATTCTAACTGTAGTGTTTTAAAGAACAATTTTTTTTTGTATGTTGGACAGACTGTACACTTTGTACACTGGACACATAAAGACTATTAGCCAAAAGTCCTAGATTATAATTATATATAATTATAATTATATAATTACTTTTACAGTTATAATACTTTTTAAGCAAACTTACTGAATGTTCATTATTTTTATCAAAGTAGAAGGGAAGTCGGTGTGAAGTAGTTTAAATAAATGCTTGACTTGTTGATCAAAGGATGCCTGGGAAAATTCTGAAACAGGATGCCTGAAATCCAGAGAAAGCAAAGAGCTATTTTATTTTTAGTCATGTTGTATCTGAGGACTACTAGAGATATCCGATTTATGGTAAAACCTTTTAATAAGAAAATTTCTCTCTATTTCAGAATTTATAACAATAACAAAATGTCTGAGCTACCTTAATTTTCTAAAAAATTAATTTTTGAAGGGAAGATTCATGTTCTATGGCTGCTACAAGAACCACAAGATGAGAGAGAGTCTGGGAGATGTTTAGAATCAAATTCATACCTACTGTTTCATACTCACTCTGCAAATCATGATCATGGGTTATGAACACTGGGAAAGGTAGGATGACAGAGTGATATATGCCCGTTCCTTTGCACAGAGCTACTGTAAAGATTAAGTGAAGTAAAATCAAAAGTCCCTAAAAGTTTCTGTAAGTTGTATGGTGCTATTAGTACACGGCGTCATGGACTGGTATTGACGGTGTAGCGACAGTACCTACTGCTGGGTGTTACTGCTATGATGACTACGACTACCTCTACTAAAAGCACTACTGATACTGTTATAACTTCTGCCACTATTGAGTCCATTTTAAAAGAAATGTGTTCTTTACCTCTGTCGAGACATGGTCAATTGGCCATTTGATTGCCTTTCATTCCTTCAGAGTCCATTGCAAAATAACAGGATATAAAAGGAATAAAATGGTATACATCAAGAGAAATGGGGCATAATGTAGAGACTGACGGCAAGAAAAGAATATTGAAAAATGGAAAGCAGGTCAAAAAGTAGTCATAGATTTACAGTAAGGAAGAGGATACAGCACAGGTTCATGGGAATAATTTTCAGTGAATTTTCTCTGAAGAACTCCAGAAAGTAACAAGACACAGCAAAAAATGGGAATAAAAAAGAAAGAAAGAAAGAAAAAAGAGTAAGGAGGAAAACAGAGAAGTCATCTGAAAATTATTTATAATGGCTGTTTGACTCACTCCTTTTGCCACCCAGGGCAAAGAATATAAGAAGTGTATAGAATAGTTTGTTACTGTTGCTTAGTCGCTAAGTCTTATCTGACTGTTTGTAACCCCATGGACTATAGCCTGCCAGCCACCTCAGTCCATGGGATTTCCCAGGCAAGAATACTGGAGTGGGTTGCTATTTCCTTCTCCAGGGGATCTTCCTGACCCAGGGATTGAACCTGCGTCTCCTGTATTGACAGGCAGTTTCTTTACCACTGAACCACCAGGGAAGTCCCTATATGGAATATTACTCAGACATAAAAAGGATGAAATCTTGTTCTTTGCAACAACATGGATGGAACGGGAGAGTTTTATGCTAAGTGAAATAAATCAGACAGAGAAATACAAATGCCATATGACTTCACTCATGTGTAAAAAGGATGAAATCTTGTTCTTTGCAACAACAAGGATGGAACGGGAAAGTTTTATGCTAAGTGAAATAAATCAGACAGAGAAATACAAATGCCATATGACTTCACTCATGTGTAAAATCTAAAAAAAAAAAAACAACTACAAAACAAATAACAAACGTCAGAAACAGAGTTATATATACAGAGAAACAAGTGGTGGCCAGAGGGGAGGTGGTTGGGAGGATGAGTTAAAAATATATATATATATATAAACCAGCAGTCAGATGTCTATTTTACAAGCAGGACTTTTATGCTTACTTCTGAAAAAATCCATCCAGATGCCCAAGATTCAAAACCAGCAGTAATAGGAAAAGGTGCAGGAGATGCACAGAGCTTAAAACAAGGAAGGAAAATAAACATTTGCTCAGGGAGCCTCCGGCTGGAGCCTGAGCATCAGCAGAGGCTGCCAAATTCTTCCTTGGGAAACCTACTGGAAGGATCATCTCCAGATAAAGTGAAGATCCAGAGAGACAACATGCACATGTTCGTATTTTGGGAGAGTAACGCAGCAAAAGAGCCGGCTGTCCACCTAACTACTGGATCCAGCTCCCAGTTTTTTGTCCACCAGTAAACAAAGGGGCTTTCAAACTGATATTTTAGTAACTACTTCTTATATAAGAAGAGAGAGTTAAAGCCCACCTGACAGTTGAGGAAAGATCTGAAAGCAAAGGCAGAGAAAAAATGTAGAAAAATGATAATTTAGTCCTGAAGAAAGAGATAAATCTCTTAAATAATCAAGCAAAAAAGTATATAAATAATTACTCTCCTCATAAAGAGGGGTTAATGCATGCAATATTTTTTAAATACTATGGGAAAAGTACTATGAAAATAAAAATCAGAAAAGAAGAAAGAACTCTTGGAAATGAAAATATTGCAAAAACTAGGCTAATTAAATGTAATAAGTTTGAGAAAGTAGAACAGAAGACACAAAATTAACAAATATGAAATAAAATGTACTTAAGAATCAGATCTGAGAACTGTGTCTGATAAAAAAAATACCAGGAAGAATAGACAGATAATATAAATAAAAAGAGTTAGCCAAGAAAATTTCTGGAGCTAAAGTTCACAGGACTACAGACTGCTTGATATAACCAAATAAAAAAGTCTACCCCAAGGTCAATTATCATAAAATTTCCAAATGTCTGTGACAAAAGGTAGATCTTCACATCTAAAGAGAGGGGGGAAATACCATATACATAAGGTAAGAATTACAAAATTTCAGATTTCTCAGTGGCAACTATGGATTCTAAGAGAGAATTATCTTCAAAATTCTGAACGCAAATATTCTTCGACCTTGAAAACTATGCCAAGTAAAAATATACACTCAGTATGAAGGTAAGGTGTGACTCAATTTTTTTTTTAAATGAAAAGAATCAGAGATATCCTTTTTTTGCACTTTTTCTGAGGAAAGAACAATGTGCTTAAGAAAGTGAAGTCTGGTGACTTAAAGCACAGAATTGTGTCAGTTTGGGAAAAAAGAAAAGGATTATGGAAAAGAGGTCTTCATTAAAAACAGTGATTTAATGGAATAATATAGCATTTGAAACAAAATAAGCCTATGTGAATAGCAAATTATACAAATGGAAATAAATACAAATTGTTACCTTTAGGAAGACCAAATAGCAATATGAAAAAGGGAGTATCATCGTAATACTACTTGTCTCTATCATAGTATTACATGGTTATAATTATATAAAACCTGATTCAATGATGGTAATGTAAATATAGAAAGACTTTTGAGGTATTGCTGGTATTCCAGATAACTAGCTACCATGAGAAGATACTTTTGTTTAAGTTAGGGTAATGAATATTCCTGGTTAGCCAGG